TTGATAAGTTTTTGCTTAACTTATCATTTTTGCTGATGATTTATTACTGTATTATAGTATTATGATATTCATTTGTCACATACAGATGGTTTAAGATTTAATTTTTGTTGATGTTTTGATAAATTTCTAAAATTTGATCCAAATGTTTTGTTTAAAATGCAACGATTTAACAAATACAGTTAACACAATGATCAGTAATTAGGGAATTAATTACTGATAAAAGAATGATAGTAAGTGATAATTAATTATAAAACATTTGAAAATTTTAATATTTATTCAATTTTGAAGAAGCAACAACATTTTAGTGAAGAAGAAAGCAGAAAAAAGTAATGAAAATTGTTTGTTTTAGTAGAATAAGTTTCGAAATAATCAAAAATCATTTTGGGATTAAATAATTTTTTAAAAAAAAATTTTAATTTAAAAATTCATAAACTTAAAAAATATATCATAACTTTCAAAAAAAAAAACAAAAACAAAAACAAAAAACAAATAAATAATGTTAAAAAATTAATTATGTGCAAATAATTTTAGCAATTGATTAAAAATTACAAATTCAAAAAAAAAAAAAAAGGGAATGGACTAATTATTGGAATATTTAATTGATTAATTAAATGGAATGCAAAAACTTTTAAAATGATAATTTAACTAAATGAAATGAATTTAAACTAAAATGAACAGATTAAAGGTCAAACATACAAAATGGCTGATTATCATGGCAAATATAACTGATGTTTGGATAAGGCTACTACTACTCCATTCTTGTCTTATAATAAATGATATATAATTAATTTTCATGCATACACTAAGAAAAGATAGGAGAGAGAGAGAGAGGGAGAGGGAGAGAGGGAGGGAAAAAAAAAAGAAGTTTGACTTTTTTATAGTGTAATGTAAAATATTTGTATAATTGAATTTGATGAAATGACCTTGTCTAATTTCGGGATGAACGACAAGAAAATGAAATGGGGAGGGGGATACAAGGGACAGGGGGACAGAGGGGACAGAGGTGAAATAGAAAGAGGTATGAAGTAAATGAAAAAGGGGGACAGATCGGGTTGAAAAGGCGGAAGGTTTTATTTCTTCATTCACTCTTTTCATCCATACATCAACAATAAATGCTTTCAAGTTGAAATTTCAATTTCAAAGAAACAGCGCATTGTTTCGCATAATTTCCTTTTTCTATCATTATTGAAATGATATCAAATTTTCGGAAATTTCACACTGTTTCTTTTATAGAGCAAATATATTTATCATTTGCTTTTCTAACATTCCATTGAAACAAGTTTAACTGTTAATGATAAGTTTGACAATTTATAAAGCGAAAATTTTTCATAAGTATGGGTATTGTTTTTATTATCAGATTTAGTTATAAATATTATCCATTATTTGTTTTCGAAATTAATCATTTAATTATCATTTGTTTTTTCTTTCTTTCTTTCTTTCTTTTTTTTTTTTTTTCGGGAGAGGAGAGAGATTTTAATAAATGAAAAATTAAATTATGGATTTATGTTAACAAATTGACAAAAAAAAATAAATAAATCATTTATGCATTTTAATTGAATTTAATACTTTTAGTCATCGTTTATCGTTCAAATCGTTCAATTTTTTTCGTCGTTTAATTTTGATACATAAAAGTTAATTTATTTAGATTTTATTTAAAAAAATAAATAAATAAATGAATAAATAAATAAAACATTGCTTGTAAAACATTATTTTTCAAATTCTTTTGTTTTTTTTATATTTCAATGTTCTAAAATTAATATTTGCATTTTGCATTGAAATATTAAAAATGTTTTTGTGTTATGTACATGCAAATATATATAAATACCAAATAAATAAGAAAAATTGAGAAGTAAAATTTTTAGTTTTCAAACTTTTCCTAAAATAATAATAATATAATCTCTAAATTAATTATTTTACTCGCTTTTAAACTATTAATTAAATAAGCAGTACAAGTTGTTATACATAAGTAATTGTTTTCTATGTTTAATATATTATTAAAATATTTAGGACAATTTGTAAGAATAATTTCTAAATTATATTAACAAAATAGATTTAAATATTAAGAATTGATTTAATCACTAATTAGACAAATAAAATTGTATAGTATGTTTAATTTTTTAGTATACTTAACCACTAAAAATATACTTAATTAGATATTAATATATTGTATAGTATATACTTAATTGCTTATTATACTTATTTACTAAAAAGTACTCAATTAGAAGAATATAGTCATATAGTATACTTAATTACTAAAAATATTTAGTTATATAGTGTAACTTAATCCCTAATATACTTAATCAGATGAATATACTTATACAGTGTACTTAATTGCTTAAAAAACTAAAAAAATTAAAAAATAATTATTAGGTGTATTTATTTAATTACTAATATATTTAATCATTAAAAATACTTAATCAGACGAATATACCTATATGGCGTACTTAATCACTTAATATACTTAATTAGACGAGTATACTTATACAGTATACTTAATTACTTAAAAAACTAGAAAATTTAAAAAAAATTATTTAGTGTATATATTAATTACTAGTATACTAATTTATTAAAAATACTTAATCGGACGAATATGCTTATATAGTATACTTAATTACTAAAAATACTTAATAAGACGAATATACTTACATAGTATACTTAATTACTAAAAATACTTAATAAGACGAATATACTTACATAGTATACTTAATTACTAAAAATACTTAATAAGACGAATATACTTACATAGTATACCTAATTACTAAAAATACTTAATTAGACTAATATATTTATATAGTATACTTAATTACTAAAAGTACTTAATAAGACGAATATACTTACATAGTATACTCAATTACTAAAAATACTAAATTGGGCGATTATACTTATATAGTATACTTAATTACTAAAAGTACTTAATAAGGCGAATATACTTACATAGTATACTTAATTACTAAAAATACTTAATTAGACTAATATATTTATATAGTATACCTAATTACTAAAATGCTAATTAGACGAATATACCTGTATATTATACTTAATCACTTAATACAATTAATTACTAAAAATACTTAATTAGATGATGTTGCGATTTAATAGTATAACAATGTCAGGGTCATCATTGTCCATCCGTTGCAGTGAGCAGTATTCATTCCTATTCTAAAATCATGATTGTTTAAATTAATTACTTTTTTCTTTCTTATCGATATTTAATCGAAATTATTTAGTATTGTTGAAAAAATTTTTTTTTTGGAATAAAAGATAAAAATCAATTTTGTATTACTAATAATATAGTAGATATTATTTAATTTCAAAATTAACAATATTATTCAATTGATTTTACTTATGTATATGTAAATGTTTTAAAAAAAAAAAGAAAGTAATATATGTTTCAACAACAAAAAAAAATACCATAAAAAAATTTATTTTAATTAAAAAAAAAGACGAATTTATTTTTGCACTAATTTATTTTTATCTTTCAAATATTACAAAAAAAAAAAAAAATAAATAAATAAGTAAACAAACAAACAAATAAGTGCTAATTCAAAAAAGGAAAAAAAAAATTGATGTAATTTATTAATACATTATTATCAAAATAAATATTATTATCATTTTTATCATTTATTAATTTAAAAATAAACGAATTATTTGTTAATAAATCCTTGAAATTATCCGTTTAAAATTGTATCAGATTAATTTATCGCTATCATTTGTTGACAAATCCATATTGCAACGTTGAAAAACTTGTTTTTCAAGTTAAGAATGAATGAAAAAGAAATGTACAAATTGGAATATTAAAAGATGGCAAACTAAAGAAGAAGAAGAAGAAGAAAAAAAAAAGGCAATTTAACTATAATTTATGCAAATAGGTAATTATTGTTAGCATTTCTACAGTTTACCGATTATTATCAGCATTATTCCTGATCAATTGGAACCAGTTGAAATTATTCATTTTACCATTTTCCGGATCATCAATTTGTTGGCTCAATGATTACATTTCGATTCGTTACAATTATTTATTATTTATTGTGGAATTTGAATGTTCCTAAAAATACAAATGAAACTTTCACTGTTTCGTTCATGATCAAATTTCTAATAAAATATGAAAAGAAAAAGAACTTTTTTTTTTTTTGAAAATCAAATTAATTGTTTTAAAATTAATTGGCTAATTTTGTTTATTATATTTGATTAAATATTTAAAAAGAATTAAACATTTTAGTTTATTTTCAATTTTTAGGTTTGCAAAAATTTTTATATCAATAGGGGTGATGTTAGAAAAAAAAAATGCATATGTCATTTTATCTCAAAAATTTCAAATTAATTATCAATTTCGTAGCAAATTAACACCGCATATTTGTGTACAAATTTTAATTTAAATTTTAATTCACAGTTTATAAAATTATGTTACTTTGCTTTTTTTTTTTTTAATTATGATTGTAAAATGAAACGAAATTTTAAAGATGTTAGTAGTTTGTTTGAAATTATTTCACCAATAACTTAAAATTGTTTGTTTAATTAAAGTAATTATTATTATTTATTTAATGCTAAACATTTTTTTTTCTTTCGTTTTTCCCTTTCAAACAAATATTTAATATATTAATACTGTAAATGATTTAATATATATTATCATATTATCACATAGTATTCTAAGCATAAATGACCAATTCCATTCATCATTATCACCTCTTATCAGTACCAACTTTTTTTAAGAAAATTTTTTTTATAATTTTTGTTGTTTATTATTATTATTATTATTATTGTTTTTGATTTGTGTGTATTTTTTGTGATTGTAATGAACTTTTTTATTATTATTATTTATTATTTTGCCTAAAAATTGAATTTCTATCAATAATAATAGATTTATCAAATCGTATGAAAATAAAATATGAATAAAATTTGATACTTTGAAATTGAAATCTTTTAAATTTTATTTATTTATTTATTTTTTTTTTATAGGAAAATATTTGATAGTTGAATTTACAATAAGCAACGTATGAATTATGAATATTTTGGTAAGCTATTGTTTGAATTAATTGAAATTAAAGGAAGAATAATTTTGCAAATTTTAAATATTATCAATATGAATATTTGATGAAATTATCAGTTTATCATAATCATTTTAGATATCACTACTTCTTCCAATATTATCATCGTATCCGGTGATTATCAGTGCCATACAGCAACAAAATTCACCTGGCAGGCCAATTCCATCATTTTTACAATGTGGAAATTATATGTTTAATAATGAAACTTTAGGAAGGTAAATTATTTAATTTTCAAAACAGATTTGATTTTTTATTTTTATTTATTTTATTAAAAATAATTTAATTTTGTTAAAATATTTAAGCTAATTAATAATAAATATATATATCTACTGTTTACTATTTGCTTCTATATTTTTCTTTTTTATATTTGCAGAGTTGATTCAATTGATTATAATCCGCTTTTACGATCAGATGGACATTTCGGCTATCCGGGCCTTAAAATACGATTCAACAGGAATGCATTCAGTTATGGTAGTTCAATAATTGCTCAAATGTTAAATCAACAAATACGGAATATTCGAATACCATCATTCACTCAATGTCTACCGGAAGTATGCTAATATTTCATTTTTTTTTTTTTTTTTTTTGTTGTCTAATTTGACATAAATTTAAAACAAAGTTAAAATAATAATAATATTATGAATAAGTTATACTGATAATGCAAGTGAGATTATCATTAATATATAATTCAGGACAGATTTCTAAACTAATTATTTAATTAATTAATTAATTGTTCCATTCTCGAACTATTATTTTCCTCCATTTCTAAATTTTCAATTAAAATTATTTTTTCTTTCATTATGGTAACAAATAATAATAATGCATAAGTTTATATATGTTTTTTTTTTTTTTAATTAACTAATTAATTACCAGAATAAAATATTTTACAAATATTTTTTTAGGTTAGTGGATGCGCCTATCTGACAAATATTTTGGTGACAAATTATCAGTGTGCTCAACGTGTCGCATTATTTCCAATTTCACATAATGAAATTGCTCTTAATATTCAAAATTTTGACCTAAGGTTATTCTATTGTTTGATAATTAATAAAAAAGAAAATTAAGAGGAATAGAACAAAAATGAAATGAAATTTTGAAAATGAAAATAATAAGATTATCATTACTTATTCTATGCTTCACAATATGCTTAAAAAATATCTAAGTATTTTTATTTAAGTTTTTATTAATCATTATCATTTTAAATTTTATCATTCCTCAATTTATAATTAAATTTGTTCGAAGTAATTTGAAAAAAATAAAACTTTTTCAACATTTTAGAATCATTTGCATAAAAGTTTTCGACCTTTTTTTTTTTGAGCATTTAACTACTAAAATAATTTTTGCATCATATTTAATATTTTGCAATATTACTTTCTTTTTTTGTAATTTTCTCTTTATTTTTTTTTAAAAAAAAAATTTGATTAAATTATATTGAAATTTTAGTCTAAGTGGACAACTTGGTGGACAAATTGTTGTTTTATTACCTTTACCACTTTGTGGAACATTATGCATTGATGCTAGACAGGTTTTTATCAATTAATTTTTTAATTTACAAAAAAAAAAAAAACTTTTTCAAAAGTTAAAAAAATAAAAAAAAATTTAATAATTAGATGGAAAAGAAGCGCAAAATGAATTTGATAATTTACAGATATCAGTTTCACTACAATTAGCAATTGAACGAAATGTGTACAATAGCGCCGCATATATTCGTATGACAAAATGTTCATTAACAATTGGTTATTTAAATATACATATTGTTAATGGTGGATTAATTGGTGAAGTTATTAATAACAATTTTCGGGTAATTTTTTTTTTTTCTTTTGTAAAATTTTAAATTTATAATTTTTTTTTGTTGCTTAATTTATTATTAAAATAGAAAATATTTAATGAATAATTTGCTATATTAATAAAATGATAAGATAAGAAAAAAAAGAGGTGGATATGATTAAATTTGATTGACTAATTAATTAATTAATTGTCATAGTCGAAATTAAATATTTTGAATTATTTTGTTATCATTTTTTAAATGGTTGTATTTTTTTCACTTTATTTTACTAAATAATTAATTTGCTATATTAATGAATAATAATTGATTGCAATATATAATAATAAATAGAAAATTTTTGATTTTAGTATATAATTAATCGAAAACTTTTCTATTATTTTTAATTAGTAATTAATTGATTTAACGAAAAAAAAAACTTTTGACTGTATGAATTTGCTATTAATTTTTTTTTTAAATGATAGTTTTTCTCTTCTTTTTATTATTAATAATTGAAATTGCTTTCTAATTAATAATAAATAAATAATAGTAATAAATAATCGAAAAACTGTTTTGAAAGATTTCATTATTTTTTTAATGTCAATAATTTTTTTCTTTAAATTTTAAAATTTTTAGAATAAAATTTTATCACAAGCATATGCAGCATTGCCAGAAAAATTTTGCAATATGATACAACCATTGATTGATGAGCATATAAATTCTCGACTAATTAATATGCCACAAAGATTTCAATTGCACAAATGATTTCATATGCATCATTCCTGATCAATAAACCGAAAAAGCTACCGGAATACGTAAGTGCAATTTGCTTTTTCCTCTTCTGTTAATACAAAAAATTTCGAGAAATTATTCGAGAATTTTTAAACAGCAAATTAAATCCTGAATAATTCTTTTTTTTGTTACTTCCGGGTAGAGTATTATGAAAGTAAAGAATATTTAAGGTAAATTATTGTTAAAATTTCATTTGTCCTTGGTAAATTTCAATTATTAAATTTCATGAAAGTTATTAAGCTTAAACGTATTAGAATCAAATCATTTGTATAATAATTTAAACTTCAAAATTTTTGCTAAATATTAATAATATTCAACTATAAAGAGCATATTTTTGCTAAGTATCTGATCGATATGAGAAAATGGCCTAGTTAGTTAGCCTAGTAATCATTTAATCATTAATCTAGCAAAACAATGAAAAAAAATCGTAATATTTTTAGCTTAATAATATATTTTTAATTTTTTATCTGTTAATGTTATTAATTTAAATTAAATTTATTTCTTTTATTTTAGTGCTATTCTGAAATTTGCAAACGCTATCAGTCCACCAATATATCATTAGCTAACAAAAAGCTTAAAACAAAAGCAATCCATTCAGCTGGTATATCAAACACTGATAATTTTGATCAGAAAGTAATTGGCATTAATAAACCATTAATGAAATCAGAAGAAATGAGTGCTAGTAATAATACAATAACGGAAATTATTAAATTACCGAATGTAACAGATCAAAGATTATTGATACCTGAAACAACAATTGAGAAATTTCCTCGAAAGATTCAAAAGAATTGGCAGATTAGAAGATGGCAAAGAGCGAAAAGAAATGTAAGTGATAACAATAATAATAATAATAATAATAATAATAATAATAATAATAATAATAATAATAACAATGATAAAAATAAAAAATAATAATAATAGTAATAATATTAATAATAATAATACTAGCAATAATAATAATAATAACAATATTAATAACAATTGGTAACAATAAAATATTAATGAAATGAGAAAATTTTAATGAAATAATATCACTCGAAAAGATGTAGAAATTTTGATTGAATAGAAATTAGCAATGAATGAAAAAAAAAATGTAATTGAAATAATTAAAAATTTTATAAAAAATTATGAATGAAATTTATGAGTTTATTTAATAAATTTTTTTTTTTTTGTTAAAAGAAAAAAAAATTGCTTAAAAAAAAAAAGAAAGAAAAAACAATAATTGTAGAGTGGAATAATAAATGTAAACAATAATATTTGGCAACAATGTGCTAATTGTGATTATGAGAAAAGTGAGATAATATCATATTATTATGATACTGTTATCAATCATATTCAGGTATATTTTATTCTTGTCAAAAAATTTGTTAATTTAAAAAAAAAAAAAAATTTTTTTGTTTGTTTTCAAATATATGAAATAATTTAGAAAAAAAACGACAAAGTAAAAAACAATTTTGAAAATAGTTAACTTTTCTTTTTTAATTTTTGAAAAAAAAAGTAAAAAAAAAAATTTTGATAGAATTTAATTAAAATATTTTTAGATTTAATTTAATTAGGATTGAGTATAATTATTTGCTATTGTAGTAATATCTTAACAATAACAATAAGTTAAGTTAATAAATTTTATGAAAATAATTTTTGTTTACAATTTCCAGTAACCATGTAAATTACTAATGGATTATTTCAGAATTGTGCTTCGGATTTAGTTTTAGCAACGCATTTTCTTGGTTCATCAGCAACAAACTCTGATTTAACTCTAAATTTCCTCCAAGAATTTAGTCCAAATGCGCGTGGTGGTACACCATTTGCGCCACCTATATTACAATATCCTGTATCAGATAGTGGACAAATGATTGATCTTCTTATCAGTGATTATACACTCAATACATTACTCTATCATTTTCATAGGTTTGTTATTTTTCCTTTTCAATATAAATTATAAATTTACTGATAAGCATACATACTTATGATAAAAAAAAAAATGAAATGAAATTGATACACATTACATACTTTTATTGATAATAATAAAAAAATTTACTTCTTATTTTTTTTTTTTTTTGTTTTTGTTTTTTATCAACAAAATTTACGAATAATTTTGTGATAAAAAAAAAAGGAATGAAAATGCAATCTTTTTAGGAAAGGTATTTTTGCATTTCGAATTGGTCCTGAAATACCAGTTATTGGTGATTTATTAAATTTAACATGCACAGCGGAAGATATCGATTTCGACCTAAGTTTTGAATTACAGGATAATAAGGTATGCAAAAAAAAATTAATAAAATTTAAAAATTAATAATCATCCATTAAATTTATGAATTTAGCAAATGAAGTATAAAGTAGTATATCGATGGATATCATAGCTTTTCAACAAAAATTTAAAAATTAAATCAGTATTTCAGGGTTAATCAGGATTTTTAATTTTGAAATTGATAAGCTGAAAAATTAGTTATGTTAATAAATTAATTGCCAGATAAAATATTATTGGTAATAAAAGAGCATCGTATGAGCAAAAGTAAATTAATTGCTAATAAAACTCAAAAATTAATAATCATCCATCAAATTTATGAATTTAACAAATGAAATGTAAAGTTGAATAAATTAAAGATACAAAGTTGAATACTTAATAATTGACTCATTAATAAAATACATTTAAAATACAATTAGCAATAGGATCAATTGGTAAATCGCTTTAAATTAAGCAGAAATGAAAATTTATAAAGGTTTAAAATTAGCATTTGAAAAGAAATTTATAAAATTTTAAAGTTTTATTTTTGTTTCTGTCTTGAATTTTCTCTTTTTTTTTTTTTTTTGCTTATAAAGTATATTTCTGTATAAGTTAATTTAGGATTTCACAAATGAGACAGCATCAAATGAAACGAATTCGCAAACGAAATCGCAAGATAATCGTAAGAGACGACATACAGCAATGGATACTTTAATCAATTTTGGTATATGTCTAGGTGATATTGCACCGGGAATTCGTGAAAGAAATCCCGGAAAACGAACTTATATTATAATCAAAACAAATCGAGCACCATCTGTGCTATTTCAAAATGCTAATAAAGGTTAATTTTTTGAAAATTTATCAAAATTTGATTAAAAAAAAAAGATATAATAATTTTATTATTATACAATTAATTTAAAAAAAAAAAAACTATTAAATTTTAAAATTATTTAATAAAACTAAAAATTTTTATTAATATTACAGGTACTATTGTAATTGAATTTATAATAGATGGGCTTATTTTTTTGGATGGTACCAATATAAAAGTTGGCCATTTACAAATTAGGACTGTTTCTGCAATAGTGGCCCAGCTTATAGCTAATCGAATTGTTGGCAAAGTACAAATTGAACGGATGGAATTTATTGATATTGATAAAACATTTGGTTTACCATCTGAAGCATTCACTAATCTTTCTGATTTAGCCCGAGGAATTCTTACTAGGGTAAGAATTTTACAATTTTTTTTTTTTTTTTGCAAAATGGGTAACTTTTTTATATAAATATTTTCTTACAAAAAAAAATTTTTTTTTTCCACAGAAAACAAAACAGGAAAAAAATCTAATATATTTTATTTTTGTTTATTCAATTTTAATTTATTTAATTTTGCTTTATGTTATAATTTTGGATACATAAAATTTTAAAGCATATTTTTAGATTTTTTTTTAGGCAAATTATCTATTTATCAATAAAATTAATTTAAAAAGAAAAAAAAAACGAATATTTTTAACTATTTTAAAATATTTGGAATAATTGTTATAAAACTTTGTTATTATTAATTTTTTTTTTCTCAATAACTTCAAAATTTTTATATCAAAAATTTATTGTATTATAATTAATTTGTTATTTGCATATACATACATTTGAAAGAGAGAAAACAAAAAAGGATTAATTCATAAAATTTAAATTTAATCAAATTCTTTTTTTTTTTTTTTTTCAGGCAATAAATAAAAAATTAGCAAATGGTATTCCATTAACAATGCCACAATTAGGCTTACCAATTCAATTTTCTAATCTTCATTTTCAAGTGATCGAACATGCTTTATTCATTTCCACCGATGTTAGCATTCCATCTTTGACATATTATTCACCATATCAAAGGTTTACCGGATGTCCTTACTATTATCAAATATTATAAGTTTAAATGTAAACAAAGCCAAGAAAAAAAAAAAAAAATCGTTTATTGTAATAAAATTTTAATATTACAAAATTTTTTAAATTTAAATTTTTTATGTCGGTTAAAAAAAGCAACTAACTGAAGCAATAAATATATGTTTAAATAAAAAAAATAAAAACTGTTACATATTTTTAAAATTTTTCTTTTCTCAAATTTTAACATTTATTCTTTGATTTGCTAAAACTGAAAAAAAAAAAATATTTGAAAGGATAAAATGCTATTGAATAATTGTCATTATTTGTTATGTGGAAATTATTTCACTCATTTTTATAGAATTATTTGAATTAAGTCATTTCAAATTCTACCTCATTTAATTAATGAATGCTTTTTTTTATTTTATTGAAATTAATTAATCAAATTTAAATTGTATTCTTTACAATATATTTCTTTTTTTTTTTTTTGTTTTGATTCATTTTGAATGTTTGTGTATTATAATTTTTTTCAAAAAAAAAAAAAAAGATTGTTGCATTTTTGATAATAAAAAATTTTTGGAAAGAAAAAAAGAAACTTAATAGAAATATTTTGTAAATTTCAATTTTATATTTCATTAACTAATATACATTTGCAATTTTCTTTTATTTGACACAAACACAAATAAATCAATTAAAAGATGATCGTTGCATTTTTGTAAATTTATTTTTGCTGAAATTTGTTTTAAATTTAATCAAATAATTTTGGGTTAATTAAACTTAAAATGCATCTATTACCTTTTAAAATTTAATATCAACAAATAAGTTCATTAATTAATTAATTAATTAATCTATAAATCTATTAAGACCATTTTGAAATTATCCTAAGGTTATTTGACTTTCTTTTTTTTTGGCTCCATCAAACTGGATTTAAAATTTCTGATAGATCGATGTAGCGTAACATCAATGATTGATCGAACATTTTTCCTTATGATTCTATCATCTATGATCATCCGATCAAATTTGATCTAATGATCGGTGACATTTGTGACAATACAAGTATGCTTATTGATCCTGTTTTTTTTTTATTTTATTTTATTCTTATCAAAATTAAATTCATTTAATTAATTAATTAGTTAATTATAATGACAAATTTGTAAACAAATATTTAAATGAACAAAAATTTATTCAAATTCAAGACATTATTATTAATTATTATTATTATTGAACAAATACCGGTACAAATGTGACACTGATTTTGTAGATGGCTACGAAATATTTCGATGCAAAAAGAAAGAAATGACTAATTATCGAAATTATTTTCATTTTTACTCCTCTTCCCTTTTTTTTGAATATTAATCAAATGAATAAGCCATTTCAATCATTTCCGGAAAGACATATCAGGAAAAGAAAGAAGAATTTAAAAAAGTACTATCCGGTTCATTACTATCAGTGAAAATGATTATGATAAAGACTTTTTTTTTCTTGTTTTTAAACTAATAACTATTTAAACGATAATTTTTTTAATAAAGAAAAAGAAAAAAAGGAAAGAATAATAATCTCAGTCCAATTAAACAGATAATATAAAAAGCCAAAAGAAGTCAAAAATATTGAGTCAAAATTTTGAAATGCTCAAAATTTTACTTACTTACTTACTTATTTACTTACTTAATATGCTTATTTGATAAAAACAGTTCTACTTTGTACATAGAAAAAGAAAAAAAAAAGGTAGGAATAAAAGCCGTATAAGTTATATATGTTTACATAATTAAAACTTAATCCCGGCAAATATCACAACCTAAATTGATAATTAATTTACACGTAGCTCAAATGGACTAGAGAAAATTTACACGTGAAACAAGTAAAACTTATTCGTAACTTACATATTGTATACAATCCATATGGAACATTTACAACGCTAAAGACTTAATTAAAATTAACATTTATCTTACATTAACTTTATTAACAATTAAAAAATTAACCAAAAAAAAAAAAAAAAATTAAGAAAGAAAAAAAAAAGAGAAAGAAGAGAAATAATAATAATAATTTACAGTAAGACTAGGAATTTTTCCTTGGTTTAATAATAGATCGTATACATGTTGATTCTTCATGTTTTGATAAGTAACTTTTTAACGCAAAACGTTTCCCACAACGTTGACAAACATATGGTTTGATTCCTAAAATTAAAATATAAAACTAGAATTAAAATATAAAATAATAATTAAGTGTTCAAAAAAAATTGACAATAAATATTATAAAATTTTTAAATTACAAAACAATAAAATGTATTAATTTGATAAAATTATTGAAATGTATCATTTGTTAAGTTTAATTATTTTTAAAAATTACACTATTAAAATTAGTACAATTAAAATATTTTATCAAATTTAATTCTCATAAAAAATTGTATTCTTTTTCTTTTTTTTTTTTTTTCATATTTATTGTCAGAAAATAATCAATGAGCAAACTTTCTTGCAATTAATACTTTTTATTATCTCACTAAATACTACTGTAGCAATATAATGCAAAAAAAAAAAAAATTACAACAATAAAAATAAAATTTTAAAGTGTAACTTTAAATAGATATTAACTTTAAAAATTAAAAGAAGCACAATATTTTTTTTTTTGCGCAAATGATTTCTAATACAAATTAATTATAATTATTATTTGTTAAAGTAAAAGTTGTTAGAAATTTAAGCAAAAATATTATTTACAAAAATAAAAATAAAAAATTGCTAAAATAAATTTGCATAAAAATGAAATACTAGAAGAGTGTTACTTACCACTATGTGTTTGGACATGAGCGCGTAAGTTACTTTTGTCAGCAAATGCTTTAGTACATATGGGACATTGAAATGGTTTTTCACCAGCTAAAAAATTATTTAAAAAAAAAAAAAACATGAAATTATAAAACTATCCTACAAATTTTTAAATTTATTAATTTAATTTAAATTTTCAAAAAAAAAAAAACAAAAAAGTTAAAAATTTAAGTGATAGTTATAATCTTTTTATTTCAAATCTAAATATAATATTTAATTTATTTACAATAAGACAAAAGTATGAAAAAATTCTTTTAAAAAAAAATTATTCAAATAATTAATTTAAATGATTAATTTTGTTTTTTTCTTTTTGAGTATGTAAAAAATTAAATTCAAAAATTTACTATGTGTTCGCATATGTCCCTGAAGAAGCCAATGTCTTGTGAATGTTTTACCACATACGGAACATTTGCAAGTGTTGACATGTGATGATCGTGTTGAATTACCGTTTCTGGCACTAGCTGAACCGGATCCGGTTATTTTTACTCGATTTGTAGCATTATTTTTGGTATTACTTCTAATAGTAATACAATTGCCACTGCTACTGCTACTATTACTAGTTGCATTGAAATTAGCATTTGTGATAAACGATGTATTACTACTACTACTGCATGCAACTGATTGCAGCTGCAGTTGCGCTTGTTGTCGATGCCATGCCATATGAATCATTAAATCAGTCGGATTTAAATAAATATTTTTGCATGACGGACACTGCAACGTTGGTCTCAAACATTTGAAAGCTGCAAATTTGATCAATTTTAAATTAAAATAATAAATAATATTTAACTATTACTTATAGTTATAATAATAACAATAATAATGATAAATTAGAAATTATCATTGTTATTTATTTATTTATTTACTGTGAATTAATGTATGAAATAATTATTCATAAAACATTTTCACTTATATTTTCTACAATGCATACATTTAATTTATTAATATACAAATGTAATTATATAAATTTCACTTCTAAAAAAAAAAAAAAAGAGAAAAGTTGTATAATAATTAATTTCGATTATATTTACAAAAATAATGTTCGTCTCTTTTTTCTATTATATAATTATACTAATATTATAATATAATGATTTTATTTAATACTGAATAAAATAAATGAATTTTTAAAGAGATTTTTAGAGTTTGAAGAGTTTTAAAGCATAATTATATGTATATATGAATAAAATAAATAATAACAAAAAATGCTAATGTAATGCTTTATATTATTACTTAAATTATAACATATAAAATTTATATTATTACCTTAATTAAATTATAACGTATTTTTAGTAACCATTGATCTAATCCATGTTGATTAGTTGAGTAAATACAAGTATTAGTAAAATAAATATTTATATTATTATTATTATTACTTATTACATTAATATATTATATACCATTAAAATTTATATTCTTACGTTAATTAAATTATAACATATAAAATTTATATTATTACTTCAGTTACGTATAAATTTTAGCGTACAAATTTCACGTACGATATATTATTTATGCTATAAAGTTAATATCCCTAAATATTAATAATAAATAATATTACAATGTTGTAATAATTTGATGGATATTTGTTAATTCTGGCGATTAATATAAATTCAGATAGTTTTTTTTTTTTTTTATTTAGTAATGATTGATCTAATCCATGTTGATTAGCAGAGTAAATACTATACAGTAGTACTTAACAAACTACTTGACATATATCCCTGGTAAGATTTTCTAGTTATTATTTCCTCTGTTATTTAATAGTAATAATAAAAAAAAAATAAATATTCTAATCTATCATTATTTTATCATTGTACATTTATTTTATTATCACAACATCTAATATTTTAAATTCAAAATACAAAAAGAAAAAAAAAAGAAGAAATTAATTTTTTACCTAAGTTATTGTAAAAGTTTCATTTTTTTTTTTAAAAGCTAAATAATATTTCCTTTTTTAAAAAAAAAAAAATTTTAATTTTTCTTTAATTCATTTTAAGTTAATTAAATCGATATGATAATATAACTTGAAGTGTTTAAATCAAAAACGGTATAAATAATCAACATATATTTTAATCATTAAAGATTTTTTTACTATTCAAATCTTAAAAAAATGTTAGAAGAAAATAATTTCAAATCAAAATTATTATAAATAATAATTTTTTATATTTGAAAATTAAAAAAAAAATTAATAACTTAGTGTATTGCATAAATATATTTCAGACAAATTATTGCAAATATTTTACATTTGATATTGTATTTTAAAGAAATTTAATTTACAGAAAGAGGGAGGGAAAAAAGAGAGAGAGAGAGAGAGAGAGAGAGAAATAAAATGAAAATGAATAACTTACGATCATTTAAAGTATTGAAATGTGGAAATTGAATTGGTCTAAAAAATGCGCTGCTAAAATAATGAGGCGGAAATGGTGGCGGAAAAATATAGGAAGGTGGAATGAAAAATTTGAATCGTTCTGTAGGAATTGATGATACTGATGATGGGAATGTAAAAGGTGAAGTTATTGGTAATTGTCCGGAAGTCAT